ATGGAAGGATGGCCAGTATGTTTGTATGGCTATATGACTGGTTATTGTTTATGGATGGATGGATGGATGAGTCTGTGGAAGAATTGATGAATGAATGGATTAATGAATGGACAGATGGGCGTATGAATGGATGGATGGATGGATGAGTGGATGGAAGGGTGGATGGATAGAAGAGTGTATGGATGGATGAATGGATAGAAGAGTGTATGGATGGATGGATAGTGTGTATGGATGGATGTGTGCATGGATGAATGTTAGGAGGAGGTACGATTTGTCATTCCAATACAAAAAGGTTTGGTTTCTGGCTTTTAGATGGAGTAAATATGCTGGAATGTACATCATTTTGGATGGATGTGGCTTTTAATTTGACCTTTATTAATATTCATTAGTCTTCATTGTGTCTTTATGTATTTATGATTATGTGTGAGATTGTGTAACGGTGTCAAATCAACTGTCCTAAGTGATGAATAACCCAACCTACTCTAACCTAAATGTTGTGATGTCTATAATGGCCCTTGTGTGTGTTTTGCAGGGTTCTGTTGAAGCTCTGAATGGACTCGGATGGTTCTACAGTACCATAGTAGAGGACAGAAGTAAAGCCATAGAGTACTTTGAGTTGGCGGCTCAGAATGGCAGTCGCGATGGGCTTTTCAATGTAGGCGTCTACCAGTTAAACGGTCTCAATCCTGATAAACCAGACAGAAATGAGGTGAGGGCCTGCACATGTACTCTTTACTGAATAGTCCAACTCGAAAATGGATGTCATTGACTCACCTTCATGTCCTCTTTTGTTTACACTCTTTAAAGAAATGTTCTTCAGTGATATCTTTGGTTGCCGATACAACTATATTAAAAATCAACAGCACTTGGTGTCACTACCACTTTTCAGATGACAGTTGTTTCTCATGGGGACGTCTGTAAAAAAAAATCCCCAAAGCTAGCCAATGATTAAACTTTTAATACGTTTAAATAATGTAGCAGTGGACATCTGAGTTTGTAATCTAACGAAACCGAAACTACTCGTCTCAAATGATCATCAATGTGCTCAGTCAGATGCTAGTATTTATATATGGGATCCTCAGATATGGCTGCTCAGATCCACCAGAATTTACCCCTAAACCTGATGAAATTTATGCTAATTTCACATTGTCTTACAATGACCAATTACATCAGGGCACCACTCACCTCAAATCATATTTGGACAGCTGGTCAGTTATAAACAGAGTACACTGTTGATCCTGGACCATCATCATTTAATACAGTGTAAATTCACTATTGTTGATCCTGGATCATCATCATCATCATTTAATACAGTGTAAATTCACTATTGTTGATCCTGGATCATCATCATCATCATTTAATACAGTGTAAATTCACTATTGTTGATCCTGGATCATCATCATCATCATCATTTAATACAGTGTAAATTCACTATTGTTGATCCTGGATCATCATCATCATCATTTAATACAGTGTAAATTCACTATTGTCGATCCTGGATCATCATCATCATCATGTAATAACAGTGTAAATTCACTATTGAAGATCCTGGATCATCATC